CTTAAAAGAAACGGCTTATTAAATACGTTCCACATATTCATTTGCTAAAACTCGTTTATTTATTTCATAGCGACGAAAACACACTTCTAGGCTTTCCCCTGCCCCGCAAACGTGACGGCAACCAACCTCCTTAATCTTAGCCCCTGCCGGAGCACATAAATTCTTTTATTTCATCCGCTTCACAAAACATGTTTACCCGATCTATAATATCGATTAGAGCGTTCGATCATTCCATTGCGAAATATCAAAGATAATTAAAGAACGTTTGTAACGTAATCTGCAATGTTTTCTCAAATACATGGCAATATCATTTTTATCATCTATTATTATTATCATCTATTATTATTAAACGGGGTTTTTCGATAAGATAACTTATACATATATAAGTTATCTTAAAATATCCGTTTGCTACTAAAAAGGCAAGCATTAACTTTGTTAATTTAATGTTAAAATTGATCTATGAATAAAAATGCACTGTGGAAAATTTTTCCTATCATGCAACTGTTCTATATGATACTTGCGTATAGATAAGTATAGTTGGAAAAAAAATAAGTGGTCTATTACAATTATCGCACAGTGCCTTTTTTACCATCACATTTCTGCGCGTCAGTAACAAGTTTTTCAACGCATATAACAAGAGGATATATTTTCATGTTTCAGATAAAAAGCGTTGGACCGAAGCTGGTGCCGTTTTTTAAAAGCGTGTCCGTGTATTTTGTATTACTCGCTGAGCAACCATCCCTGCTGACGGCGTGTTTCAAATGCCTGCCGATAATAAGTCTCCTTATTTTTGTTTTGTTACACGGGATCAGTTTGTCCAAAGAGTAAGTATAAAGATGCTCATTACGGATAGCTTTTTATTTCGCGGTTATCTTTCTTGCACTTGAGCGTTGCTAACGTAAGCTACTCCTCTTCTTGCAGATATACCTACTCCAGACGCATATTAACGGGATTAGTGTTTAGTTGCATAGGTGACGCACTATTGGTGTGGCCTAATTGCTTCACCGCCGGGATGTGTATGTTTGCCGTTGCGCAAATTATGTATATATTTGCATTTGGATTCAAACCTCTCAATTTAACGCTCGGGGCGATACTATACGTGGCTTGTGCAATTGGTAAGATTCGTAAACACACAGATAATCGGATCGTAAATTTTTCCTGGTCAGACATTGATTTTTATCGATCGCTATCCGTGATTAATTGACAGTGATGATTAACGTTTTCAGTTATATATGCATTGATGCCTGGATTGAACGGGGTTTTAGCAATAGGAGTGCCAATTTATACAGTATTACTTGTCACTATGGCATGGAGGGCCATATCGAGAGTACAATTCTTTGAGGTAAATTTATGTAATAATATAAAGAAAAAACTATGGAAATATAGCATTTGACTTTATATCTGCTATTCGTCTGCGTTTCATCCCCTTTAAATATGTGACATTTACTTCTCTGACAATAAATTGTTATTCATTTGAACGGAGAATTAATCATAATTTTATCTGTCAGGAGTTATGGACATGGACTAAATTGTGCAGTTGTATTGGAAGCATTTGCTTCGTCATATCTGATACTTTGCTCGGATTTCATTATTTCCACAGTCCATTACCTTATTCTCAGGTACGTACATTATGTAGGTATATTCCTGAAAAATAGCCTTGATGACTACGATAACTTTATAAAGGGTATAATAATAATCGATTTTTACTTCGTAGGTATCCATTATGTTGACATACTATGCAGCACAATTAGGCATAGCACTCAGTGTGGTAGATTCGAAAAACAACAGTAATAACAGAGTACCTGCTAGTAAAGGCTGAAATATTTATTCTTAATCGTTATTCGGACAAACTTATCTGCAGATGCGAAAGCGGATATAAAAAGAGATCTTTTTACACGTCTGCTTTAAACTGTGTGCATAATTCCAGTAGGACAAATCGTTGTGATAATCGTCTCTGACATGTTGAATATTTCAAAGCCATATATTATTGAATGAGATTCGTGGAGAGTCGGTGATAGGATGTTGTACCTTCGACTGTAGAAATAGACTTATATTTCTTTTTGTATTATTAATGCAATGCAAAGAAGTGTCCTATAGAGATTTCATACTAGCCACGTTTGTGGCTTCCTATTTTTTGTATATGTATGAGAAAATATACTATTAAGGATAGATATAATGAAAGAGAATGTTAGTTACTCTTAGATAAATAATTTCTTAGCGGAAATTTTGTTGCTGTTTTTATTAAAGAAAGACAATTACGTTGTGTAGTGTTGTAATAGAATCTCTAGATCGAGATTTTTCCTACGTAAAAAGAAGATACATTGTTAGCATTAAGCGTTTCTTTAAAAAAATCACATTTTAACAAAATACATATAATTGATTATTTTTAATATACATTTCAGCCAAAATGCAATAGTTTACCTGCGACATATCGCATGTGATGAATATATTACATATTACTCTTGTAAGAAAAGTTATCGTTGTATATATACGTTATATGTATATCATGTATGATCTATACTTGTTGTCAGTGTTATCATCTTTCAATGTAAATTATCATCCTACGGATGACAAGTTGCAATATAGCTGTAAATTGTACCATAGAAATATTTCCTACTTCAATCTATATTGCGTTACTGTACATATCATGTTACACGCGATATGTTATGTTTCTGTTATAACGTGAATCGTTATTAACACTGCCATTTTCTTTGGCAAGATAAAAACTAAATTATTAGTTTACATGTTCAACTG